GGCAAAGGACTTACAAACATTTCTCCAGCATAGACAGATGGCCAGTAAGTACATGAAAAAATGCTCAACATCACTAATCCACTAAGGAAACACAAATCAAAAGTACAATGAGAAATCACTTCATACCCATTAGGATGGTTATCGTCAAAAAAATAGAAAACAAGCCTTGGTGAGGATATGGAGAGGTCAGAACACTTGCGCACTGCTGACAGGAATGTACAATTGTACAATGGTACAGCAGCAGTGGAAAACAGTATAATAGTTAAAACACAAAAGTGTCAAATTAAAATTGGTAGAAATTTAACACAAAAAATTTAAACATAAAATTACCATATGATCCAGCAATTGCACTTATGAGTATATACCCAAAAGAACTGAAAGCAGAGATTCAGAGAGATTATTTGTACACGAACGTTCATAGCAGCATTATTCACAATGACCAAAAGGTGGTAACAACTCAAATGTCCATCGATATTTGGATGAATGGATAAACAAAATATAGTATTATACACACAATAGCATATTATTCAGTCTTGAGCAGGAATGAACTTCTGATATATGCTACAACATGGAAAAACCCAGAAAACATTATGCTAAGTGAAATATGTCAGACACAAAAGGATAAATATTGTATGATTCCACTTAAAGGTACCTAAAATAGTCAAATTTATAGAGACAGAAAGTAGAATGGTGGTTACCAGGGGCTGGAGGAGGGAGAAACGGCGAGTTATTGTTTAACGAGTACAGTTTCAGTTTGAGATAATGAAAAAATTCTAGAGATGGACAGTAGTTATGGCTGAGTGACAACATGAACGTACTTCATGCCACTGAAGCATACACTTAAAATTTATTAAAATGGTAAATTTTATGTTATGTATATTTTACCACAATAAAAAAAAAGAAGGAAAAAAGGTAGGAGAAGTTTTTTGTCAGCCAAATGTAGAACTATGATTTGGTGGTAGCAATAAGACAATGAAAAGCTGGCCAAATGGCAACCTCACTTTCTACCCCATGTAGATCAGAATATACTCCCTTTACGTAAGAGGCTTCCCAGGGAGGGGCAGTCATTAGGTAAAGCCAAGTTTTTATGAAGGTGATGTATTCTCAAAAAGGCTGAAGCTGGACGTAAATTTCTTAGAAACACAAAAGGAGTTTTAAGCTGCATAGTGTAAAAGAATGTTTGGGCTGAACAATATAGGGATGAGAACACCAGGCCATTCAACTGGGGGAGGGGGAGTGAGACTGAGAATCAAGAAGAGGAGAGGAAAAGAAGCTGGTTAGAGGGCTGACTCTAAATAGCCTCAGGGCTCCAAATGGAACTGCTTTGCAAATTATCACTAGAGCAAACCTTCAGTAAGCACTTTATATGCCAGCCACTGTTCTAAGCACTTTATATGCATTACTTCAAGTTTTAACAAAATTGGCCTTGGTGACTCTGCCTGCAACCAAATTTCTCCTCCTCTCACTTATAGGAAAAGGTTAACTTAATATTCAAACAGTATAAATAGCTGTGGCTATGGCTGGGATTTCTGAAAACAACTGCTTTCAGGTATTTAAGAACCGGGATTTTTTTGTTACACAGTTAACTCATTTCCCCTCAATAGCATCTCTCTAGTATCTTACCACATTCATACACAAATACACAAAAACAGCATTTAAACAGTAAAAGGATGAGTAAATAATCATACTCTTTAATCCTTAGTTGTTCAGCCCTGGATTTAGAGCATGTTTTCTTTTCTAGACTTTCTCCTATCCCTAACCCCCATCTCTGACTCCAAAATATATATAATTTTATTGATTTTATGGATTATGAAAAAAAGATGCACATTATCATTAAAAAATATACAAAGTGTAAAAAAACTAAAAATCACCCGAAATGGTTAATTCTTTATTTGCATTAATGAGTATGGATTATTTCCCCATAATAAATGACCTAATAAACACACAAATTAAGCAATAATAAATGACATACTAACATTTAAACCTAAATTTTGGTAACTAAAAATATTTTTAGCATTAAAGACTTTTTAGTCCTAATACTGAAAAGTAAACAAGCTAACAACTGATTCTCACCAACTTCATGAATAATTTTAGTCGTAGTTTTTAAATTCCGTATACAGATTTTAGATTCTGTATATATATATATGTAGATTTAGACTCTGCATGCATCAATTTCTAAATCTTACATACATAACATTATCACAGAACAACAGATTTTTCTAAAATGACTTCTATCAAGACTATTTACTGCCTTTTAACAATCAGTCAAACTGCTTTTGGGAACATGGAAAACTACAGTTCAGATTTCATTCCTTTTGTTAATGTAAACCTATCAACAGACTACAAAATTATTGGATTTAGGCAAGTCAACCCTATATAGAGCAGAATAAAACAACCATGCAAACAATCTAACTTGGAGGGGTTCTATAAGAAATCTACCAGCGCTAGGGCTGGCCCACTGGCATAGTGGTTAAGCGAGTGTGCTCCACTTCAGTGGCCCAGGTTCACATCCCAGGCATGGACCTACACACCACTCATCAAGCCATGCTGTGGTGGCATCCCACATACAAAATAGAGGAAGACCACCATAGATGTTAGCTCAGGGCCAATCTTCCTCAACAACAACAACAAAAATTAAATAAATAAAAAATAAGAGATTTAAGAGAAAAGTATTTTTTTTTAAAAGAAATCTGCCAGTGCTGAAAATGTCTACTATCAGTCATCCCTTTAGAAAACAATCCCATTTATAACTGCATCAAAAAAAAAAAAAAATACCTAGGAATAAATTTAACCAAGGAAGGAAAGACCTGTACTCTGAAAACCATGATGCTGATAAACTGAGGTGACACAAATAAATAGAAACTGAGATGACACAAATAAATAGAAAGATATATCATGTTCATGGATTGGAAGAATTAGTATTGTTAAAATGTCCATACTACCCAAAGCAATCTACAGATTCAATGCAATCCTCATCAAAATACCAATGGTATTTTTCACAGAACCAGAACAAAGAATCCTAAAATTTGTGTGGAACCACAAAAGACCCTGAATAGCCAAAGCAATCGTGAAAAAGAACAAAGCTAGAGTTACACTCCTTGATTTCAAACTACACTGCAAAGCTACAGTAATCAAAACAGTACAGTAGTGGCAGAAAAACAGACACGTAGATCAATGGAATACAAGAGAGGGCCCAGAAACAAACCCAAGCATATATGGTCATTAATCTATAACAAAGGAGGCAAGAACATACAATGAAGAAATGACAGTCTCTTCAATAAACGGTGTTGGAAAAACTGGACAGCTATATGCAAAAGAATGAAACTGGACCACTATTTTACACCATATACAAAAATAAATTTAAAATGGATTACAGTCTTGAACATAAGACCTGAAACCATAAAACTCCTAGGAAAAAAACACAGGCAGTCAGCTCTTTGACATCAGTCTCAGCAAATTTTCTTTGGACCAGTCTCCTCAGGAAAGGGCAATAAAAGCAAAAATGAACAGATAGGATTACATCGAACTAAAAAGCCCTTTGCACAGCAAAGGAAATCATTAACAAAACAAAAAGACAACCTACTGAATGGGAGAAGATATCTGCAAATCATATATCCAATAAGGGGTTAAAATTCAAAATACATAAACTAACAGAATATTAAAAAAATAAACAACTCAATTAAAAATGGGCAGAGGGGGGTCAACTCAGTGGTGTAGTAGTCGAATTTGGCAGGCTCTGCTTCAGTGGTCTGGGTTTGTGGGTTCAGATCCCAGGCGCAGACCCACACCACTAGTCAGCCACGCTGTGGCAGCAACTCACATATAAAGTGGAGGAAGACTGGTATAGATGTTACCTCAGGGCTAATTTTCCTCAAGCAAAAACAGAGGAAGACTGGCCACAGATGTTAGCTCAGAGTGAATCTTCCTTACCAAAAAAAAGAAGAGCAGAGTACTTGAATAGACATTTTCCAAAGAAGACATACAGATGGCCAACAGGCACATGGAAAGATGCTCATCATCACTAATCATTGGGGAAACGCAAATCAAAACCACAATGTGATATTACCTCATACCTATCAGAATGGCTATCATCAAAAAGACAAAAAAATAAGTGCTGGCGAGGATGTGGAGAAAAGAGAATCCTCATACACTGCTGGTGGAAATGCATATTACTGCAGCCACTATGGAAAACAACATGGAGGTTCCTCAAAAACTAAAAGCAGAATACCACACAATCTAGCAATTCCACTCCTGGGTATTTACCCAAAGAAAACAAAAACACCAATTCAAAGAGATATATGCACCCCTATGTACACTGCAGCATTACAATAGCCAAGATATGGAAGCAACCTAAGTATCCATTGATGGATGAATGGATAAAGATGATGTGGGTGTATATACACACACACATACACATACACACACACACACACACACACACGGAATATTACTCAATCATAAAAAGGAATCAAATCTTGTCATTTGTGACAACATGGATGGACCTAGAGGGTATTATGCTAAGTGAAATAAATCAGACAAATACCATATGATTTCACTTATATATGGAATCTAAAAAACAAATGAACAAACAAAACAAAACAGAAACAGACTCATAGATAGAGGAAACTGGTGACTACCAGAGTGGGGAGAGGTTAGGGGGTAGGCGAAATAGGTGAAGGGGATTAAGAGGTATAAACTTCCAGCTATAAAACAAATAAGTCATGAGGATATAATGTACAGCATAGGGAATATAGTCAATAATATCATAATAACTTTGTACGGTAACAGATGATCAATTCCTACGTATATAAAAAGCAAATCACTATGATGTACACCTGAAACCAACAGGATACTTTATGCTAATCATACTTCCATTAAAAAAAATTAATTTGTTATTAAAAATAAGAGTATTTAGACTTACTCCTTCAAGGAAAATAGGTTATACAGTGATCAAGTAGTAAATGGCTTATATATTCAAAGTAACAACATTTAAGACTTACCTCTAATATCTGACTAGCTCTAGGTAATGAGTGCCCATCAGCCTGGATCAGCGCTACCTGAATAGGAGACTGTGACAGAACACTGGAAGAGCTAGCAGAAGTCTAGAAACAAAGAGAAAAACAAAGGTACTCTGTCCTGATCTATTATTAACACAGGCAAAAGGTCACTAAAGCACTACCTGGGGGACAACTGGTATGTACTTATATTTAGTAAGTAATCACTTATGTTTCATTTGATAACCTTGTAGTGGATACCACACGGTCAGTGGTAAAATTTTGTGGTCAGCTAAAAAATGCAGAGTTCTTTTATAGGAGCCTAGAGGAGGTGCATGGGGCCTCTACACTCACCCACTAACATAGAAAGACAACTTACAGAATGCAAACGGACTAGTTGAGGTCATAATTTTAAAATACCATATGAAAATTAAGTTCTTAAAAAATAAATGTTTTAAAAATAAGTTCTATGATATGAACATGGCTTAGCATTAAAAAATTGCAATTAAGATGTTTTATATTCCATAAATGCTTGATTTTGATACTCTTACCTTAGATTGGTCAAAAATTCCAAGTTTTTCACATACTGTTTTATCACTTTCTGATTTTTTCCAAGGATTATTCCATTTTTCAGAGGCTTCTTTTTCTTTCTTCTTTAAAGCAACCTGTTCATCTGTAAATAATGTCCTTTTTAAAAAAATGTACAAAAACTGTAAAAAAAAATCATGTAAACAATCATGACCTTCTTAAAGAGTGCAGATTCCAACACAGATCTAATCAAATTTGTTTTTCAGGGAAGAGATTAACTCATAAGAGAGAAAAATTTTAAGGGATGGAGTAAGAGAAAACATTTAATCAGAACCAAATTTAAGTATGGTACAAATGGATGTAAAAATATTTGTTTTATTACAATTATCAATAAGGAGCAATTTTTTCAGAACAACATATTTTATATTATGCTAACTATTCTGAGGTTGTATTTTCCTGTCACGTTCATTCAATTTTTACTAAGAGACTTAAAAGCTAGAAGTCTGGATTCAGGGAAGCCTGGGGTCAAATCCAAGTTCGATCACTTCCTAGCTATGTGACTGTGGGCAAACTGCTGTTTACCTCTCTATACTTCAGTGTTTTCTTCTGTAAAATGAAAGTAATAATAGTGCCTATTTCAGTACAGGGCCTAGCACAAGCTAAATATTTAATAAATGTTAGCCATTATCATTCATAACTGTTGAAAAGTAAAAAACATAAAATCTTGTGTCTAACAGACCAATATAAAAACAACTAGGCTCCAAATCATCAATAGTCCTTAAAAATTCAGACACATAAACTTAAATTCCAAGAAAATTAACGAAAGCATGACTTTAACAAAGAGAGATGTGCTTTCCTAACAGTATCTAGTAAAAGAAAGTAAATTGTTTTTAAGATAATAATTAAATCATAAAACACTTCAGTCATTTCCAAGGAATTTCATCATACTTCACAAGTTTGGCACTGTATATTTATAAGCTAAATTTGTATTGAAAGAAAATATTTAAAGCTGAAATTATGATATAAACACACATCAGATCACCAAACCTTCTGATACTGCTACCATACATTTAATTTCTTCATTTCTCTGTTACCTTGACTTCCAACATCCACTCATTCCCTATTTCTTCTATTTATCTCTTTTTCTACATCACCTGTTCCAATAGGGTTATGACTACCTCACAGGACTTCCCAGTCCTATAATAAAAGGTGTAATAATTACCTACCAAGCTCTTTCCTCCACTGGGCTTTTTTTGCTTCCAACAAACTTCTATCACGTTCTCTTTCCCCCAGAGTACTGAATATGTCAGCTGGTTTCCATAGATTCTCTCTAAGACAAAACACAAAAAATTACAGAAGCCTTATTATACATTTCTACACAACTTACTCCATAAATATTAAGTAATAAACTTTTAAATAGTTCTTCTTTTTCAGAGTAAATATTTCACATGCAAGTTAAGGAAAAGCAAAACCATATTCCAAAAATGTCCCCACAATAACAGATACGAGTTACCTACGTGGCAATTTTCTGCTCATACTGTTTAGACGTCTCCTGATTTTTATTTAAAACAGATTGATTTTCATCCTGAACAGACGAAACAGCCTCCGTTTTCTGGACTAGTCCCATAATGTTCTTGTCCTTTGGCTGATTAGGAATATTATTTAAAGGTAGACTGTACTGATCTAGGAGGTAAAATGCATGTTTTAAAATTAACACTAAAATTACATCTCTTACAATACCTTATCTTGGCATACTGCTATACAGTTTAAAAAAACACTGCTTACACATTACCTAATTAATTACCTCTCACAGCAATCCTTGCAGTGGGTATTATGATTCCCATTTTGTCAAAAAAAGAAACTGAACCCCAGAGGTTAAATGGCTCAGAGGTATGGCCATAGCCATACAACTTCTTGTATCAAATAAGAAAACAAGCAAAAACAAAAAAAGAAACTTCCATTTACTCTTGCCAATTACAAATAATATAAATGATAACACAAATCACAACTTAAAGGAGAATGCAAATAGCTTTAGGAAAAACTCATTACCTTGTCCTTATTTTTCTCATTTAGCTGGGCAATCAGTGGGTAACTTTACCACAGACTATTGTCTCTATGTCCCAGCTTCAATATCTATTCCAAATGTTTTATGTAAGGCTCAGCTGTTTGGCTCAAAATTGTTCTAATTCCTCCTTAATGTGCTAGCTCTCCCAGTGAAGAGAAAGCATATCTAATAGGTAAATCATTATATGATGAGGCAAACTCTGCTTTTAACTTCATTGATATTCTCTCTCAATATGCCTACTAAGTTTTCATTTTTTGTTCCCTGAGCTAGAATTCTAGCCTTACAAAACCCAGCTCCCTCACTTTACAAAGAATAATCTAGACCAAGAGAAGATAAATGACTCTTACCTTGAGCACCTTGGAAACGCATAGGAGCTACCTGGTCCCCGAACCAGTTGTAGGGCCTCTTCCTGGTGACTGTTAATGTTATTTTTATTTATTTCACTATTGCCTAACAAAATTTTAATGATATTTCTACTCAGATTCACAATTCCTTAGCTCAAAGCTGAAACTAGATGGCTTTTAAAAACATAATACAATGCTCTGACTAGTGAAACAGAAGGCATGCAACATTCTACGACTCCTTCCAGGTCTGTGTTTTACATTGGTTAAAAAGCTAGTGCTGCGAATCTTTAGCATGGATTGAGGATCAGGAAGAGTAAAACACAGGGGCCAGAAAAACAATTCTTTTCAGCAACTCAAGTCAAATCTTCATAGAAAGGTTCCCACAATTTTCACTAGAAATACTACAGTGACTTTAGAACATTTTATATAATTATTTTCAATGTAAGTAAAGCCTCTTACATTCTAAAATAAGTACAATAGCTTTTTGTACTAACATCTTTTCTAAAGTTCACAGAAACTGAGTTTCTTAAGGCTATGGCACAAGAGAATATTTTGAGTATTAATCTTAAAATATGGTGTATTATAACTATAAAAGTAATTTTGCATGAGAATGTTCTCTAAAAGAATAATTATTTTAAAAGACAGTTACATGTTAAATTAGAATTTAAGTGGCACAGTTACATAAAATCCAACGAGTCTGAAATTCAAAAATGCTTACAGATTGACAAAATTAATATTAATTAAAACTTTAGAAAAAATCTTACTTCTTTCCTCCTCCTTTCCATTCTCAGTCAGGGAAATAGATCTATTTCCTTGGTTTACTGTCATCAAAATCTGTTGTAGTTGGTCTTGTGTTAGACACACCAAACCGCTCTTCATGTTTTCAGCTGTGATGTGTTTTTTGCAAGGCTTCTCTTTAGCTACTAGAGATGTATTTATGGTGTTTCTAGACTTCTGTATATTAGGGGTTGCAGGTGAAATTTCTTTCTGGATATGAAGACAATCTTTATCTGCATACTGCTTGCATAAATCCTTAGTGGGTGAAAAAGTCATACTATTTTTTTCACCTTCTGCCAGTGAAGTTTCTGAACCAATTCTCTTCTTTTGTAAAAGTTTTTCACTCCTGACACAAGTATTTTGTGTTGATCTTAGAACATATCCAGTTTGTTTTGTTCTTAAAGGACATTTTGCAATCTTGGTCTTATTTCCCATCTGTTAAAACAACAGAAATTTATTCTCCATAACAGCCCATGAAAAATCACCAATTATTTTTATTTATGTAATCTGTGATAAGTCAGGCTGCTAAACTTTTTTCCATTTTGCTATTTAGATAATATATTCACAAGAAACTAACTTTAACTTTTGCAGATCTTCACTTGAAAGCTTCATTTACAACTGGAAATTATTATTTTATTTCAGGATAATGAAGAACACAGAAGAACTTTTATTCTACTTGTTACAGGACATCTCCTTCTACTCCAGCTTTGAAATTCATGTCATGATTATACCACCCATACCACCTCTTTGCTCTATAGGCACCTACAGACCCATAGGTTACTAGCCCTTATTCCTTGAGCAACTTACCTTGTGTGTCACCATCCCTCTCGTTAACATAACTCCTGTCTTAATTATTGGTACATTCATATCCACATACATCATTCTTCCAATACCCTGGCCTCTCATTTCCTTGAACTCTGCTCCTATACTCTTGTCCTCCATGCTACCTCAGTTACTCATTCCCATAGTGATATCTTATACTGACCTTGTAACTACCCATAACTGCAATCCCTCCATAATCTCAATTTCAAGCACTCCACAATGACCACCACTCCTTATCTTTTCCAGTTCACTTCTTCCCATATCTCAGTTCCAATAATTCTTTAACTCCGCTGGGATCTATAATCTGTTGATCCTACCACCTTCCTCTTGTCCTCACTTTCCTCCTTACCAATCAAATTCCACAATCAACCACAATCATCAGTATCTTCCATTCTCAACTCCTCTGCTGTCATGTACACTTGGCAAATCCCAAACCTGGTAAAATCTAACTCTTCACCTACTCTCTATCTGCATCCAAAGAGAAAAACACAGTCACAATATATAGTTTCACCTTAAATACATACCCAAGAACAACAAATGGGCTCTTCATGCTACCTGACAGTCACACATGTCCCAAGTTCATTTACTCTCTCACTCTTCTGCCAACAATTTCAACTTTCTTCTCTTTTCCAAAACTTCTAACACTTTTTCTTCCACATTTATTCTGAACTGAAGACCTTTGACTAACATTTCACTCAAAATACAGAGAAGCATTCAGAAAAACTTTCAACAAGTTTCCACTACCAAATCTATACCAGCATCTGTACTCACACAAATTGCTTGCCCTCCTGTTACTTGTACATATTCCCCTAACTCTCTCTTTGCCAAGGATCTCTCTCTAGCAATTCTTTGCTTCCTCTTGAATCATCAATTGTTTCTTTTCTGCTGGAACACAACATCTTTATCATCTTAAAAACTTCCTGATCATACTTTCTCCTCTCATCTCCTATAATCCCATTCCAACCAAGCTTTCATCCATATCACTCCACCAAAACTGTGCATCAAGGTCATTAATAACTTCTACATTGCTAAGTTCAGTGACCAATTCTCAAATCCTCTCCTTACTAGACCTATAAGCAGCATCTGACACAGCTGTTTATTCCTTCCATTTTGAAACACTTTCTCTACTCCACTTCCAGGACTCCACAATCCTGGTTCTTCTTGCTGCTCCTTCTCAGTCTTCAATGGCTCCTCCTTTTCTCTCAGACCTCTTAAAGTTGGAGTGCTCAGGGCTCAGTCCCAGGATATCTTCTCTAAGTTCCCTCATTCACTTGGTAATGTTATTTATTCTTGTGGCTCTAAATATTATCCATATGCTGATGATTCCCAAACTTGTGTCTCTAGAATGGACCTCTCCCCTAACTTCAGGTTCCATCTGTCTATCCAACACATCCACTGGGTTTCTAACAGACATTTCAAATTCAGCATGTCCAAAACTGAACTCTTGATATCGCCTACATAACTTCCTCCCTTCAGTCTTTCCCACCTCAGTTACTCATACCAAAAATTTTGGAATTATCTTGACTCTTCTCTCACATGCCACATTTAACTTGTCATCAAACCTTGTTTTGCCCCATCTTCAAAATATATCCTGAATCTGACCACTCCTGAACATCTCTCTTGCTACCCCTCTGCTCCAAGCCATTATCAGCACTTGCCTGAATTACTGAAAATCTTCTAACTGGTTTTCCTGCTTCTACCCTTGCTCCCTAGACTATTCTCAACCCAGCAGCCACAGTGATTACCTTAATATGTAAGTTAGATCATGTCACTCTTCAAAAGCTTCCAACAGCTTCCCATCTTACTTGGAGGAAAGGCTGAACTTCTCACTATGACCAAAAAAGACCTACTGATTTGTGCAGCATTCTTCCTTTGTCCCCATTACCTGATCTCTGATCTCATTTTCTATCTCTTAGCCTCCAGCCACATGGGCTTCTTGGTTATTCCTTGAACACAACAAGAACCTCCAGTCCTAGGCCTTAGCATCAGTCAATCCCTCTACCTGGCACATTCTTCTTTCAGATTCTACACGGCTCAGTGCCTCATCTCCTTCAAATCTCTCCTCCAATATCATTCAGGGAGGTCTTCTCTGGCCACTCTATTTAAAAGTGCAGGTTTCCTGCTCTACTCTCACTCCCACCTCCCTAGCACTCCCTTTTCCCAAGGTTCCTGTGCCCCTGAAGTGACTGTGCCTCTTCCCTTTCTCTTTTTCTCTATAGCACCTTTCATCTTGTAATGTTCTGTATTTATTCTGCTTATTGTCTGCCCATTCCATTCCTTTCTAATGTAAACTCCACAGGGCAGATTTTTGTCTGCTTTGTCCACTGCTGTATCCCCAGTAACTGGAACAGTGAGTAGAACACAGTAGGTATTCAGTAAATTTTGTTGAATGACTAGCCTCAACTATATCACTTTAAAGACTGAATTCTTTATCTCTCTCCCCCAAATTAGGTCTCCTTTCTAATATATCCCATTTCTGTGGCACTGTTGATCTAATCATTCAGACCAGTAACCATGGAGTCACCTTTGACTCTTGTCCTTCTCCTTCATGATCTTCTTCAGGTGACTAGCAAGTATTGGTCATTTCTTTCTTCCAAATATCTTTTTCTCACCATTTACTTGACAATAAGCCTAAATGCAGAGTTTCCATTACCACACTACTAGATTATAGCCTGCCTATCTCAACTCTAGCTCCTATTTAACCCACTGTACATTTATGCAAACCCAACTAACCTAAAATAATTCAACAGCCATTCACTCAATATTAAGTGTGGCTTTCTATGTGCTCACCACTATGGGGAAAAAAAATTGGAAGTGTAAAGATGAATAAGACAAGATTCTTGCCATCAAGGATTGGGGTAGATGCCATATCGCTTTCATCTGGCTTTTCATATCCCAAGTTCCCTTGTCTTTCAATAAATTACATAATATCCAACCATACTTTGACCAATTAGCTAATAGCATTTCACCCTACTTTTCAAAATGTACCTGTAATATCAGCCACAAGATCTCTTTATCCTTTTCACCTCACCCTATACCCTATTTATTCCTGGCTTTAGGCTTTTGATAATACCAATACCACAATCTAAAGTGCCTTTTTACCCTCCCATCCCTGCAGCTATTTTAATATAACTAATTCTCTAAGTGAGAGGTGTCTAACAAATACCTAGGCTGAGTGGGAACTACGATGAACTGAAGAGCACTTTTCTATCTAAAGGAAGCAGCCACCACTCAGAACCAGCCTACACTGCCAAATGGGAATCTGAGTCTACTGGTTAGATCCTCCAATATTTCAAGAGAACGAAGAATGCCAGATTTTATATTAAATTTTCCAATTTTTAGACACTGGCAACTCAGTCTAGTTTTTGAAAACCACTGTGTGGGTTAAGCAAATTATCAGCAGACTGCACGTAGTTTACACAGCTAAGCCCTACCACCTCAGTTAGTCTCCCACTACTACAGCTCCTACTAGTCTCAACCTTCTGACTCAAACTGGCCTCTTTTTGGGTCATTAACAGTTGAGCATTTTGTTTCTCTAATTTGAGTAAGCAGTTTCTCACTCAAAACTGCTAAGAAGTGCAGTGCATTCCCTTTACATATCTTAAGTCTCTCATTTCTGTCCCCTTCTTTCCATTCTGTTTAGCCATCATACAAGTTCAGGGCCTTGTAAGACTCTCCCTGGACTACTATAATTGGCCCTTCACTTGTCTCCCTGTTATGATAATCTGTCCTTCACAGAGCTGCCTGAAGCCCTTTCCTACAACACAAATTAAACCATATCTAGTCCACTTTTCAAAAATTCTTTAATACTCCTTAAATCCAAATCAAGTAAGTTCAGACTCTCTGAGTATACATTTCAACTCTTCATGACTGTAACCCCCCTAAGCTTTATGTTCTACACTTCCTCCTCAGGCACATATTTCTCCCCAAATGCAAATTATGCTATCTCAGTTATTTTGCACACTATTTCCTCTGAGCTTAGAGCATACTTCCCTACTTCGACTATAAATATACCCTTCATCTTTCAGTTCTAATTAAAATGTCACCTCATTTATGAGGCATTCCCTGCTCTCCTCAAAAAACAAACAGCAGCTCTTTCCAATGTTTTCTTCTTTTTATAACCCTACACGGCACACATTTTATTCTACTTGTCTTATATAGTTATTTACCTGACTGATATCCCCACTTCCAGGAAACAGGGCCTAGGTTTTACTCATTTTTTTCTCTCACAGTCACAGAACAAATAAAGCCAAGAATGGAGCTCTACACACACACTGGAATTTCACAGCTACAGTTAATCCTTGTTAAACAGAAACCTACTGATTGGAGCTCTAATTTAACTAGAATTATTTTGCCACATTCCACTTACACCAGAAATAATATACAGAAAGTCTTCTAAAAATATTTACTTAATTAAAGGGGGGGTGGGAGAGCAATGATCTGGCATGAGGTCAATATACGTTCAGCTCAATTCTGAATAGTCTTTTGCAGTTTAACACCAGAGAAGAACAATGAACGGAGGCAGCAAAACATTGTGAACTACCAAATAACTATTCAGTTATGTTCAGGTTACTTAATAGGAAAAAGCTGTCTGGCTCAAATTATTTCCCCAAGTATCTACTGAATTAGATGAATTTTAATAGATCAAACAGTGTCTTCATGTCATAAACATTTTTATGTAGAACGTTGCCCTTTTACCTAATTTTAGTTCCACCAATATTCTTCATAATATAAAAACACTGTCCAATGCATTTAATATTGGACGACTTCACAATTTATATGGGGTCAGGTTCCCAAGGCCAGAAAGAATCAGGGAAGAGTAATATTTTAAGATATGTGTTACCTAGTGATAATACTGTATACATCCTTTAGTGCATCACTACTCTGATTCTCACATGCAGAAATACATGTGAAAAATTTTTAAATGTTTTATATTTCGATTAATTTGTGAGACAATGTTAAGTATAAAGAGTTTAGAATTTATACATTACTTATGACACTGAATCATTAATATTTCTTTCATTTCTCTTCTCATAAACTTAGGAAATTAGGCTGGTAATCATCTTTACTTCATATGCATTAGCACAGATTAAAGAAAAATACAGAAGAGATTTTGATAGAATCAAGACAATACTCTGACCACACGTGTTAAACTTGATGATGAGACAGAGTTCAGTTGTGTTTAAAGAGCACACTATGTAGACGACAGTAATTCAACCTATGAGAAAGGGGAAAATCAGAACTATAGATAGGTCTTGTAGTCACTCAGGCGCTTACCCCAGTAGAAGGAAAGAAAAGCACCACGAAGAGAGAATATGTGAATAATTCATAGAAAACTCAACATATAGCTGCAGAATTGTGAGATTAAAAACTTATTAAAACAAAAAAGGAAGAAAAGTACTACTGTTTTCGGTTTTTGTCTTCTGTGAAGAGCAAAGAAAGGAATGAGGAAGATCTTTATAAATAAAGGGAGAGGAGCTCCTTGAAATAAAATCAATAGACTTAGGTTACATCACTATTTTTTCCAACTTTACTGAGGTATAACTGATAGTTAAAAATTGTATATATTTAAGGTGTACAACTTGATAATTTGATATATGTATACAGTGAAATATTCACCACAATCAAGCTAATTAACATATATCCGTCCCCTCACATAGTTACCATGCATCAGTATTCTGGAACCCCCAAAGAAAGAGGAATAAACCAAACAACCTGCCTTAAGACAGTAGATAATTTAAGATCATCATCAGCTGAGACATATTAGTTACTCTGAAAAGAAGAATCCTAGAATAACATATCCTGTGACTGCTGACAGAATTTTGTAATGACTCTATCCAAAGTCTAAGACTAGTAACTGTTTTTTATAGGCATGAAAGGGAAATCTCCAGATGTTCTAAGTTGGTTAAAATCTCCAGATGTTCTAAGTTGGTTAAAAAGACAATGAAGGGGCCGACCCCATGGCTGAGTGGTTAAGTTCGCCTGCTACGCTTTGGCAGCCCAGGGTTTTATTAGTTCAGATCCTGGGCATGGACATGGCACTGTTCATCAGGCCATGCTGAGGTGGTGTCCCACACAGCACAACTAGAGGCACTCACAACTAGAATATATAACTATGTACTGGGGGGCTTTGGGGCGAAGGAGAAGAAGAAAAATAGATTGGCAAGAGATGTTAAGGTGCCAATCTTTAAAAAAACAAAAAAAGACAATGAAGTCTTCAGAAATGTAGTAACTATAACAAATCCATCAAAGACATCAATGGAAGATGAAATATGTGAAAGAGAATAGAGGCCAGGGGAAGAGAGAAATCAACTATTACAAGTAGCTTTTTTATCTAGGAACTTGAAAAGGGGCACTGTATTTGTTAATATGACTGAAGTAAGAAGTTAGTTGCAATATTTTAACAGGGTAGGGCAAGGAAAAAATATACATTCTGTGATTAAGAGAACACACAGGTATATAACTATATACCATATATAGAGAAATAATTTTTATAGGTAGCTTGTGGAATTACTCTGATCATCATCACTTGTTTATCAAGTGATTAATAAGCTGGGTACTCAAGCAACCTCTCCACTTTGATTAAACCTGGAAGAAACAGCAAAGCCATCAAGGGCTCAGAGTTGAAGAGAAAAGTGCCACATCATCCAAACTGGGTCCTATTCACACACCTGCAAAGAAAGACTTTAAGATGCTGCAAAGATAAAGGAAAAAAGGAGCTACAGTAAGTTACGGAAGAAGAGAGTAGAAATTTCTGCTGATGTTAATCTAAAAATGGAAAAATAAGGAACAAGAAAACTAGTGGTATCCAAAAGTTTTTAAAGCAGTAAAGGCACTATGGGTTCTTGACAAAGAAAAATAATTTAAAAAGAAAATTATCATTAAGCTCAAGTGTGATCTCTTAAAAGAGAAAGCTAAATGCATGTAAGAATCTGTGAATCAACTACACCCTTTCACTGAGGGAAAATGGAATCTGAGTACGAAAAGTAAAATACATTGTTTTAAAGTCTGAATATTGATTTTTAAACATCTCAGGAGCTGCACTTCCAGTAGGGTAGCTATTAAAATTAAAAAGTAAATCAAATTAAAAATTCACTTTATTAGCCATACTAGTCACATTTTAAGTGCTCAATAACCACATATGGCTAATGGCTGTCTACATATTGTTCAGCACTGATTTCAGAACATATCCATCATCACAGAAAGCTTTTCAAGACAGCACTGATGTAGAGAAAAGAGTTCTAAAAGGCTTTTTAAACTGAAAAATTATGATTCCATTTCTGTGAAAGGACTAGGCTGAAAGCAAGGGAACAATAACTTCTCACTATCATTCCAAACCCCTTATAATATTTTGACAGGAATTATTTTCAAACCACTCTAAAGAAAACCACATTTACACTTGAAAACAGGTCAGGTCAAAGTCATTTGGCTTACCTTCACAGAAATTTTTGATTTATGTTCTACAAAAGAAAAAAAAAATTACTAAACTATCAACTGAAAACATACTAAGACAGTTATAAAAGAAAATTTTAATTAGTATTGTTATAAGAAGATAATAAGTAGAAATATTAACCACAAAATAACTAAGCCTAGGTCCTATCTGGGGGTTCTAACTTTTACAGTGTGGTTCAAGTATTTCTATTTCATTTTTTTTTATTTTCCAAGGTAAAACTATAAACAGATCAGGAAAAGAGAAAATAACGTGAATGAGAAGACAAGCAAAGTATAATCTAAGTTTTAAAACTAATACTAAAAATAACTTTAGCAAGTGAAGTCTTACTATAAATTTAATTTTCTCAAATAATACATTCTTTACATGCACAGAACATAATTACATAAGTTTCACCTAGATTTACATTAGGCAATAAGGATATTTGCTACATGCAAATATAATGAAGACATACATTACACATGGAATATACTGGAACATTAAATTTTATAAATAAATACTGACAGTGGTAAGCAGTGATGTAATCTGATTTTACTTTGCTAAAAGTAAATTTGAGGAATTTAGGGGAAACAACTTCTTTCAAAGTATCATTTAAATATCACTTTATTACAAGCAAAAAGTCTGTTAAACCAGTACAAATTTTATGTAGGAATTTAAAAGTTAACATTTTACATTTCTAGTAACACAGCATACCATATGGGGACAATATTAGCTTGGTTTTTCCATCCAATAATTCAGTTTCAAGCTTTAAACCATCTCTGCAAAATAAAAGAAAGTTGTCATTTTTGAGAAACAGCAACATTTTATGTAGCCAGAAGTGTTCATTTGAACCTTGAAAGTTAGTTTGTTCTTTTGAGTTTATACAAGAATCTTGTAAATACTGAACCATTCTTTTAATTAAAGACATTTTTCAATCCAAGATAAGATTGAAAACTACAGAAACTTTCCAATAGTACAAAGAATTTATCTCTTACCTGAAACTTCATTTTGTTACTGATAAACAAAATTGTTATCACACTATCATTTAACTCTTATAACTCTACACTGGAAAAAATGCTGTTACCAAAACTCTTCCTAAGTTAAAACAGCAAAACATATCTACCACTTGTTAGTTTCATAATGATCTAACACAGTCTGTGGTGAGACAGAGCATTATTTGAAAACGAGCTATAGCACTGCCACCAGGGTTATTAACTGCTTGAGCACAGAGTTCCACTCTATTTTGAATCTTTCAACTAATACATATTCACATTTAATGACACTTTTGTTATGATTACAACAATAAATTATGTTTATTATAAGTTTTGGCTGCTATACTTTATTTGTGCATGTCAAATCCAAGAGCACAAAGGTACAAGGGTAGACGTTGCCAACGAAATTTGTACATCTGTTAAGGTCCAAATAAAAACCCCACTGAAAACAGAAACAGGAGTCCATAGCCAATTCACTGTTTTACTAAGAAGGGGAAAAAAAGATGCTTGTCAACAAACATCAACGGGAACAAAAGTGACATCCAAGAGAAACTAAATCCAGCGGGTCAGTCAAGCAAGAGAGAGTTAGGAACGGTGTGATCAGGAACACGAAACGCGCGGTGTTGCTAAGGCAGCGGAAATCAAACCACCTCAACTTCTTTATTAAAAGCCTGAAAGAATGGGTTTTACGGGGTTCCCTATTACAGGGTTACTAACAGCTCCTGTTTCCGTTGGCTGAAACTCAAAGGCCTTGAATGAAACCGTACAGCCTATCTGTTCAGCACTACAGCGCCGTAAACTCCTTCAGGGGCTGACTGTCTTAGTTATTTTTATATCCCTAGATTCTAGAACGTAAAATTCATTTGCTAAACGCGCCGTAGTCTGAGTTTGGTGACTTTTTCATCTTAAAATGTTAAACTTCCCAGTGATGAAAACCATGCAAGTCTTTTTTATTTATTCAACCGCCACTTACTGAAGGCCTAGTAGGGGTACTACATCGACTCCTCGAGAAGCCTCGGTTACCCGCACGGCGGGCGATCACTATCCGGGGGCTCCGACATCTGGAGACGCCAAAGACCGGGTCACGAAGAACCAGGGGTCTGGGCCAGGATTTCCCTCTGAAAGGCCGCTAAGCTTCCTCGCTCCGTGTGCCCTCACCGTTTACCTCCTCTCCTCCCTGCCTCTCCTCCCTTCCCACCCCGAGGTAAACGAGGGGGCGGAAAGGTTGTCTCTGACAGTTTACACGCGAGTTACGAAGTGGAAAAGCGACCCAGCAAAGGCCGACCCGGCCCCCTCGCCCTTTCAGGGAGCTGGGCACCGCCGCTTGGACGAGGGCAGGTCCGGAAGGTTCCCTGCGAAGGACTCCAAGGGCCAACCTAGCCTCAATCCCTCTCCTCTGACGACTACCGTTTTCGCCTCAGCTTACCCCAAGTTCATGGTCCGATATCTGGCTCACCCCACAAAACGCTCAGGCCCACTGTGTACGTCGGTTGCCGCCGCCGCTCAACAAGCACCACGCCGATTGGATAGAGTGATGCCGGCGAGCTGGAAGAGCGGCCCAATCAGGATTGGGAATGCTGGCGGGTGCGCTCAGCGGGGGCGGGGCTGCAAAGGCCACAGCTTCTTTCTGCACGTCCGGGACCAGTGTTCCTACGCTTGGGTAGTACAGGCTTTGGGTCCTGGGGGTTGTGGCCTCTGGAGTTCACAGGGAGCCCTCAGAGAAATGCCTGAGCTCGGGTGGAGGTGACAAAAATACGGAGAAACAAAAAGCATAAACGTTTTTAGGAAATTAACATTTTCTATATATTTGGAAGAGAGACTTTAGTATAAAATAAGTTGGGGAGGGGGGCGCGGAGCGGAGGGTTCTGGGGAGAGATTCTTCGGGCAGGTACTGGGTATGTGTGGTTTCTTGCAGTGACCTCGGCATGAAGCCTAGCATGTTGTAGCTCTTTTTAAATAGCAGCAACGTTCACAAGTGCTCAAGAACTTTAGCTCTTATGTGCCAGACTTGTATCTAAGTGCCTTATGTGTGTTATTTAAACTGTACAACATTATCCTTGAGGCACAGAGAGGTTAAGCAATTTGCCCAGGGTCACCATCAAGCAGTTTAATCTCAGAGCCCGTGTTCCAAACTAGTGTTATATGAGACTAACTCCTATTCATTTTTCAAATCTCGATTTGTAGTCACTTCCTCGACGAAGCTCCTCTGGAATCCACTGGTAGGTGAATTAGGAAGCCATTCTCTGACTCCCCGGTCTCTACCCTTTCTACCAGGGTATTAATGCATTTGAGATCCTACGGTCGGAATGAGCTTCAGAGGGGCAGACTGTTGTGTCTTAAACACCTCTATAGCCAGAGCACGTGGTACTAGCAGAGTAGACGGTAGATATTTGTTAAATGAATGAACAGCAAAAGTGAAAAATGCCAATGATAACTTTATTAAATTTGACTGAATGGTATTTCATGAAGAGGATGCCCCTAGATTATACAGCAGTTACTGAAATTTCACATTTTTTTCATCTATCTGCTCTTACACAACTTTTATAAACTATTGTAATAAATGAGACACGTTGAATTCTCATGGGACATTCAGTGAAAGCTCAAAGAGATCTTTTAACATTCATTTATGTACCTGGCCTGTGGAGAATATACTTAAACGTTTGTTAATTTACCTGAGTGACTAAATGAACAGGTACCAACGTACATTTGATCCTGTGTTGTTCTTTGTTTGTATTTTAAGGAATACTCATCTATACATAGAAAAAAAGGCTAAAAGGATTTAAACCAACATGTTTAGACCAATAGGACTATTTCTGGGAGGTAGAGTGGTGTGACTTTTAAAATTTTATCTTGTTTCTAACTTTTATCATGAAAATGTTTTAAATTTAAAAATGACAGAATAGTACAACAAACACCTATGTATCCTCTGCCTAGATTTGACAATCGTTAATGTTTTGTTACATTTGCTTTCCTCTCTTCCTCTCTCTCACTCTACACATGGCACACCCATCCGCCTACACCCACCCACACAACCCACCTTTTTTTGCATCACTATTTGCAAATAAGTTATAGACACTCCACCCTTAAACATTAAAGCATGTGTCTCCTAAAAATAAGACATTCTCCTATCTAACCATAGCACTATTATTACACCTAGGAAAATTAGCAACTTAGTGATAATATCCAATTTTCCATCCCTGTTTAATTTTCCCCACTTCTCCTAAGAATATCTTCTATAGCTTTTTATTTAGAAAGTGAGAGCCAAGCAAAGATTACACATTGCATTTCGTTGTTAAGTATCCTTTCTCTCTTTCTGTCCAGAAAAACAACATAGTATATTTATTAATGAATGCTTATCAAACCTTTACACACACACATATATATATTTTTTTGTAAGGAAGATTGGCCCTGAGCTAACATCTGTTGCCAGTCTTCCTCTTTTTGCTGGAGGAAGATTGTTGCTGAGCTAACATCTGTGCCAATCTTCCTCTATTTTGTACGAGGGATGTCTCCACAGCATGGCTTGATGAGCAGTGTGTAGGTTTGCACCCAGGATCCAAACCTGCAAACCCTGGGCTGCCAAAGCGGAGCACGTGAACTTGACCACTACACCACGAGGCTTGTGCCTACATCTTTTGTTTTTTATTGTGGAGATATCTACAACCAAATTTGCTATTTTAACTATTTTCAAGTGTACAATTCAGAGACGCAATGTTGTGCAACCATCACCACTACCTATTTCCCAAACTTTTTCATCACCCCAAACAGAAAGTCTGTACTCGTTAAGCGGTAACTTCCCATTCTTCTCTCCCCCCAGATCCCTGGTAACCTCTAATCTCATTTCTGTCTCTATGAATTTGCCTATTCTAGGTAATTCATATAAGTGGAATCATACAATATTGTCCTTTTGTGTCTGGCTTCTTTCACTTAGCATAATTTTTTCAAGGTTCATCCACATTGTAGCATGTATCAAATCTTCATTCCTTTTTATGGCCAAATAATATTCCATTGTATGTATGTACTATGATTTGTTTATCCATTCTTCTGTTGACAGACACTTGGGTTGTTTCCACATTTTGACTATTGTGAATAATGCAGCTGTGAACATTGGCCTACAAGTATCTGTTTGAATCCTGTGTGTTATCAGGATTCTCCAGAGAAATGGAACCAATAATGTGTGTATATATCTATAGGTACATAGAAAGAGACAGAGACAGAGAGAGAGAGGCAGAGACAGAGATTATAAGGAATTGGCTCACTCACTTATGGAGGTTGAGAAGTCCCATGATCTGCAAGCTGGAGACATGAGAAAGTTGATAGTACAGTTCCAGTCTGAGTCCGAAGGCCTAGGACCACAGGAGAACACTGATGTCCCAGCTCAAGGAGTCAGGCAGAGAGATCCAATTCTCCATTCCTTTGCCTTTTTGTTGTGTTCAGGCCCTCAATAGATTGGATGATGCCCACTCACATTGGAGAGGGCCATTTGCTTTACTCAGTCTACCAATTCAAATGCAAATCTCATCCAAAAGTGTCTTCACAGACACACCCAGAAATGGTGTATAACCAAATATGTAGGCACCTGTGACCCTGTCAAGTTGACACATAAAATTAACCATCATGTTGTGCTTTCAATTCTTTGGGATATGTAGCTAGGCATGGAATTGCTGTTCATGTGGTATTTCTGTCTTTTGCTTTTTGAAACACTGCCAAAATTTTTACAGCAGTTGCCTCATTTTACATTTTCACCAGCAATGTACAAGGGTTCTAATTTCTCCACGTCCTCACCAATACTTGTTATTTTCCACTTTTATTTGTTTGTTGGTTTTTTTTTTTTTTTTAAGATTGGCACCTGGGCTAACAACTGTTGCCAATCTTTTTTTTTTTTTCTGCTTTATCTCCCCAACCCCCACCCTGTACACAGTTGTATATATCTGAGTTGCACGTCCTTCTAGTTGTGGGATGTGGGACGCCACCTCAATGTGGCCTGACGAGCGGTGCCATGTCCACGCCCAGGATCCGAATCCTGGGCCGCTGCAGCGGATCGCGCGAACTTAATCACTCGGCCACGAAGCTGGCCCCTGTTTGTTGGTTTTTAATTACAGCCACCCTAATAGGTTCCTTGGTTCTCATAGCTTCTGCTTTTGTTTGTTTGTTTCTTGAGGAGGGACTAGAGCAGCCAACTCCATCATTTTGCTCGTGTCATCTCCCTTTACTCTATTCTAATATAGAACAGTTACCCCACTTGTTCTAACTTTTTAAAAAGTCAGGCCCACTTGTGGAATGGCTCACAATCTGGATTTGTCTGATTATTTCCTCATGGTGTTGTTTCACTTGTTCCTCTATCCTCTATCTTTCCTGTAATAGTTAAGTTAGACATTTGTAGTAAGCATACTTTAAGGCAATATTGTGTGGTTCACAATGCATCAGCTCAGTTTGTCCTACTGTTAAGGTGGCCGAATTTGAAGACCTTAGCTGGCAGCTGCCCCATCTCTCTATTGCAAATGTCCATTTTCCCCTTTGCAATTAGCAAGTAATCTAGGGGCTGATAGTTTGGCATTGTGCTGATATCCTGTTCCCCAGCAGCCTTTCACCCTTTAACCTCATAGTGAGGGGTGATTTTTATGTTGTGTTTATAGTTTTATACCTTCTGCATACCACTCTTCTCTGCCTACCTGTTCACCAGGTTCAAGAAACTGGTGCAAAACAATTCTACTTTTTTAAGTGTATTGTGAGATGGGAATTGAAGGTCCAGTTCCCAGGTGTAGCATCCCTTAACAGCCCGTGTTTCTTTATGGTCTGCCTGTAGGCCATTCCCCCAGAATAAGAGAGTTTAGTAAAATGCTGTGAATCTTGATTGTTCAAGGGTATGTAAGGATCGGAGGTACTACAAACATACCATTCATTTATAGGCATGTAGTTTCCTCAGATTTCCCTGTGGGTACCAAGAGGGTCACCTTGACAG